CGGCATTTCACCATAAAAGTCTTTTTTATCAAATGTGAATTAAATGTTTGTCGCCCTCATCCGCACTGATCTGATGCTTAAGTTTAATCACATTCACTCATTTTCTGTATGCGTTAGGTAGGACTGTCCATTATTGTCCCTGAACTGAAATTTGTCCTCTGCATTTGACCCATCCTTCAATCGTACTATAGGGCCACTGTCAGGAGCAGTTTCAAGACTTCCAGAGCTGGAGGATTTTACCTATGGTGCATGTTTGGAAGGCGGGGGGAAACCAAAGCACCTGAAGGAAACCCACTCTGCAGGGTAAACATGCAAACTCCACACAGAAAGATACGGCTGACATAAGTTCAAACCCACAAACTCCTTTGAAGATTGAGTGCTAGCCACGCAGTCCCCATAATGCGGCTTGTTGAATAATAAATACTCTATAACGTTAATAAAAATACAGATAGTACCAAACGTTCATAGAAAGCAGATTACTTTATTGACCTCATTAATAGAAAATCTTTAGCTTTTTTGAAATATCTGCTGTCGGCCTTAACTCCATCTTATTCTGCCGTATTTTGTTTATTTATTTATTTGACAGGGACAATGTAGTCATAGATAGTTACATTATGAAAGATGCAGCTGATAAGACACATACAGAGTGTAAAGCTAATGCTAATTTTCAACTCCTGTCCCTGGTTGAGCTTTTCCCTACCGTGCAACACATTATACAGAATGAATAAAATAGGCCTAGCCCTAAAACACATATTTACAACAGTGATCTAACATTAAGACATTCCCCCGACCAATGACAGCCATACGGACAACACACATTCACAATCAAGAATACACACACACACACACACACAAACACAAAATACTATTGTTTACAGGTTTAGAAATGGGTGCATGTTTGGTTTGTTTTCAGCCACAGCTTGAGCTTTGAGGTGAACTCCCTAAATTCTAATATGTGTTTTAGGTCAGTGGGAAGCGAGTTCCACAGTTTGGTCGTTTTTATGGAGAAAGCAGACTGGCCAAATGAGGTTCTCCTGTGTGGAATTGCACAGTTGTTGTGGGATGTACTTTTGGAGACTCTGTTGCTGGTCTGTCTCTGTATAAATGAACTCAGTGGCTCTGGTGCCAGGTTATTGATGCATTTGAATGTTAGTTTTAGAGAATACAATATTATAAAGTTTTCCAAAATTAGCAGATGACAGTTTTTGAGTATGTTGCAGTGGTGATATCGGGTTGGTTTCTTGTCCATAATTTGTATTGCTTGATTGTATAATGCTACGTGTGATGCTATACAACATTTTAAAGCTTCTTTAAAATGTTTATTAAACACTACAGGTAAATTTGTCCTGTTCTATTTCAAACCAAGCATAACTGTACCCGTTTTGTTCAGAAAAATCCACCAAAAAATTATATATATTCAACAAACAAGCTTAGCTATTAACCAAAATAATGATATCAATCACAAAGCTTGGATAGGATTTTTTTTAATGTGGAGCACAAATTGTGTCATACAAATGAACCTTCTTTGATTATTTACAGAACAATAAATAGATACACCTAACAATCATCTTGATAGGGTTGAGAGGCTCTAGAAGTTTCAAACGTGTATAAAACTACAAGAGTCTTATTTCCATGACATGATACCGACAAGTGTCATGTATGGAGAACCACTGATACCGTGTTACCTGTGTATGGAAATTCTTCTCTGAAAGTGGGTCTGAATATGTCATCAGTGCAGAGGCGAGGCTGTTTATGCATGTAGACCGCGCAAGGTGAGTGTATCATTTACCATCAAGTCATTGGCTTCAGCAGGCATCTAATAACAAAGCATTTATGGCCCACTTACTCATGCATAGCTACAGCAGTGACAAGCGACGACAACATCCCAGCACCCCGCATCTCCCAAAACACACATCGCGATTGAACCCAAATACTCTAGAATTCTATCATCAGACTCAGCCACGAAATTAAAATTGCTCATTTTCTGTCTCCATACAAGGAGCAGATCAATTTCCGGAGAGTAGGACGTGATATTTTCCTGCCATTGGGCTTTCTCGTCTCTGGCACAGCACCCTGACTGTCTGCCAGCAGGGGGTCCGGGCCTGACTGCACGCCTCAGCAGAGAACAGTTACTTCTGCCGCCGCGAGTTTATTTGCGCCTCGCTATGAGAATTGCCATCATTTACCCTTCCCCTGCGCCTCCCCAAAAAGAAAAGAAATAGACAAGAAGGGAAGCGAGGCAAAAGTGAGGAGGCGAAATTGATTCTTTTTGATACATGCTGCATGGGGGACATTAGGTACCCCTCGTTTGACCGTCTATTTGGGAAAATGAACTGAATAAATTTGAGGTAATGTATATAGGCCTTTTGTGAGGCCTTACGGTTGTTCAAGTCAGGAATTATATGCTCACCACAGCATGTAGTCCAGCAGCATCTGGGTTTTGAGAGAATTCAATTAATCATTCTGTGAGTTTAGCACTACCTGATTAGTAATATTTTAAAGGCAAGATACAATATAAGTTTTTGTGTCTAAACAATCTCCTAAATCCTCTCTGTTTCAAAGGCCTTACTTAGTAAGTCATTGTTTGTTGGATTCACACTATTTTACAGTATTGTTTGCATCATTGTTATAAAAGTGGTATTAAGTAATCTTTATTTAAATACCGCCTTTCACAGACCCAACTCACAAAGCGGTTTACAATTGTTATTTTTGGGCACTTGTCCTCTCACTCCACACAGAGATGGGAGCGGGGCCAGTACAGGAGGCGCATACCAGACCTATTGTACATATTTTAGGTGGTAGGGGAAACCGGAGTACCCGGAGGAAACCTACACAGACACAGGGAGAACATGCAAACTCCACTCAGAAAGGCCCTGGTCCAACCGGGATTCGCGCCCAGGACCTTCTTGCTGAGACGCGTGAGTGTTATCCACTCAGCCACCGTGCCGCCCGAGTATTGAGTCTCTAAAGAGGACGGACCTGGTACTCACTGATCTAAGGAAAGTCCCAAGCTAATATTGACGCAAGCCGCAAATCATCAAAGAAACTAGCAACCCAAACACATGTTCTGCTTTCGAATGGATTATCATGTTAAGTCCCAAACAATGTGCCCATCATAAACGTTGATTCAAAATTAAGACTAAATTAGCATTAACATTTTGATCAGAAAAGGCCAAACATGTCTGGCAACTCCAGATAAAATGTGTAGTATCACATTAATACTAAATATAAATCTTACATAGTGGTTCCTTTAACATAACATAATACAAGATGGACCCACATGTGTCTGTTTCAACCAACCCCCTTTCAAACCTTGTATTTTATCTGAATATTTTAGGTTTAAATAAATCTATTCAAATCACACCAGGATAGCATAACAAAATTGGATTCAGAACAGAAGTAGTAGTAGAATAACTAATCATACTGAGTAATGTTGTCTTTGTTAATTAGTCTTACTTGCACACTGTAGGCTGCACTCACCTGACCCTTCATGCACCGCACACACAGGAAACAAAAGTGTACAATAGTGAAAATCTAATTCCCATATTTGTATTGTAAGTGAATCGCTGTGCGTGTATTCTGTTATTTTTGGAGTGACTGGCAACGGTCCATGTCTCCACCTAATGCTCATAGTAACTGGGAACTGTGCCAATTGCATTCAATCCTATTCATAAAAAAGCCAATGTTGGAATATTTATCATGCAATTTTGGATAGACCATTTCCTCACTTAATCCTCAGAATAAATTCAAACTTTTCATTTCCTGAATTTAATCATTTTTATTCAAACCTTACCCCTATGCAAGGTCAAATTTTGCACATAGGATTTTTCAGGTCGTGGGGAAAAGCTCTATCACATGAGTCCATCTGAGGTCACCACAAATTATGACATTTTGTTTATCTGAACATGTAATACCATTTCATTACCCATTCCATTGTAGCCTTTTACTTTGCCGCATTTTGACTTGGATATATAAATTAACCCCTTTTGTTTTAAAGCTGGGGTACCTAACTTAAACTACATGAACTAAAATCCCTGGTTCCTGGTTCTAAACAGTTTGGTTGTACTTTTTGGCCTCTGTCACATCTTTGTATCAGCTTTTTCAGACAGAAACGTGAATAAGAGAGGACCGATCTAACTCATCCAATCAGCTCTCAGGCCAATAGTGACTTATTTGCAAACATACAAAATATTCAAAATGTTCAAATGAGATGAAGACAGCATGGCGTGGTCGGATTAGTTGCTTTTACAGGATTATTTCTGTTGGGACGAACAAAATTTAGTATTTATCAGACGACATGTGTTTTTCGCAAAAATCCCGTCTGATCCCGTCAGACCTCTGAAACTAAACAAGTTAGAGCCTGGTTAGTACTGATGGGAGACCTTAGGCTTCTTAGGCAAGACACTTCTCCATCCTAGACATTGCCTAGAATGGTGTATGTGTGTGTGTGTGTGAATGGTTGGTGGTGGTTTGAGGGGCTGATGGCGCATACTGGTTGCCTCGCTTTTGTCAGTGTGCCCCAGGGCAGCTGTGGCTACAGTAGTAGTTTATTACTACCATTTATGGAGTGAAATAATAATTACATGTGAAAAGCGTTTTATAAAACAAATGCATTATTATTGTTATCATTATTATACTAGTTAGTTAGCCTTCAGATTAGCCGCTGGGAGCTAACAGACTGTAATGTATGAGGAGCAGCCAGCACGTGTCTTTTACCTTTCTTTCTTCTGTAATGTATTCTTGACTTGGATTTCCTTTGGCACGGACATTGTTTGCTTTGTTTTCGGCCACTAGCAGGTCCAGCGGCCAAGTGTGGATCCGCTCTTGCGTCACGGACCCGGCTCTGGTTTAATTGAACCCAGATTGAGAAAGCCTTTAAAATCCAGCCCCTTTCCCCTGTGTGCGCACACGATCCACGCACACTCCTGCAAGACAAGGATTACCAGAGCAAAGTTATATTTTGAGAGCCTTTTGAAGTGAAGAGGATCATTCATCAAACAATGGCTGGACTCAAGGTAAGATAAACCATTTTTATGATACTTTCACAAGCATCGTTCAACTCTCCAAAACTTTAAAATAGGTACTGCAAAACTTTTCCATGCACTCGGCTTACATGGTATAGCTTTTGTATACAGAAAGCCTTAACTAGGCTCAAAGTGCATAGCGTGGCAGAGAACTTTAAAACAAATATTGTCAGTGTTTTTGAAGTTTACCAATGCTTTTCACCGCGTGTATATCACATCAGCTGAGCACAGGCTGAAGGGTGGCACTGCGGCTGACCAATCAGAGAGCAGCATTCCACAGCTGCCCAGATGAGAGCCACAGTAGACTTTCTTCACATGTTATACACGTTTAAAAAGACAAATAAGAAAGACCTGAGAATGGAATGATGCCCTATATACTCATTCATACATACAGCTTTGTAGCTTTCAACAATTGCAAATCCTTGATGTTTTGCAAACTGATTTTAAGAAGGTCAAATAAGTCTAGGGTTAGTACTATCTGCAGTTTGACACTTTAAAGTTTTGAAATGTACTTTTGCTATAATAATGACTTATAATACATACAGTATACTATATAGGCTACCCCTCCATGCTTGTCGGTATAGGGGACAAACATGTGGAAAACATAAAAGTCCTGGCTACTGCTATAAACTCATCATGACTCAGCAAGATTTGGTGGGACTGAAAGCATGTTATTAAATGAAATACAGAAAATGCACAAAAAGCTTTGTGTGATTGATTTACTTGTGAGAATAAAGACACATAATTATCAATAACACTATGTCTAATGGATCACAGTGAGGTAGTGCATCCAGCGTTGTCTCGGTTAGTTTTGTGATGTATCTAATATGAATCAATACGGCAACAATTAGGAAAAAGACCAGCGGTAATGATAAGCCTCAAGTTTAATTATAACCAGCGTGAGCACATTTATCATGCATCACAATGAAGCTGCACAGAGCTCTGTATTAGTGTCTAATGGTTCTGTCTCTCTCAGTACATGAGCGGCTTTGGGAACGACTTCTCCTCTGAAGACCCCCGCTGCCCCGGATCCCTACCCGATGGACAGGTAACTTAAAACCCATTTAGCAGTTGAATAGCATTTACATATAGACTTTTAATTTCATAGGCACGTACAAAGGCAACACCAATATTAAACTTTCATATAGTATGTTACAGGGTTTATATTAATCCATTTTATTCTCTATATCAATTTATATCAAACAGCTAATGATAGAAACAAGGGAGGAATTGAGTTTCTCAGAAAAGCTGGAGATTTCCTTATATTTCATTGTAGCCAGTATCGTTAATTTAAAAAAAAAACGTTAGTATAGTGAATTAACTACAAACACAACATATTTCTTCTTACCTCTGAAGAATACTCTATTAAGCTTGTTCATAGATAGTGTATATTTCATAATCATTTGTGTGTGTCCAGAACAATCCTCAAGTGTGCCCTTATGGCCTTTATGCCGAGCAACTCTCTGGCTCTGCCTTCACCTGCCCAAGGCCAACCAACAAGAGGAGGTCTGCTTCATACATTTAAAAGGGTTTTCTGAACACGATTACTGTTGAAACCCAAAATGTATTTTTCTTTGCGTAGCTGGTTGTATCGGATTCTCCCATCGGTCAAGCACAAGCCCTTCACCCCGGTGTACTGTGGAAACATTACGGAGAGCTGGAACGAGGTTGACCCTGATCCTAACCAGGTAACTCCCACTAAAAAATGTCCTCCTCAGATTAATAGATAGTGTGGTCATAATCTAGATTATAGTATATGTTAGGGGAGAAGACAATACTCAATATATTGTTACATACTTGATGGATAGTAATATTCCCTGATCAGATTAAAGCTGGGTTACCTAACAATACAATACAATACAATTTATTCTTGTATAGCCCTAAATCAAAACAGTAGTCATCTCAGAGGACTTAACACAGCCATTGAAATCGCCAACACATCAGAGAATCAACAGTTAAGACACAAAAAGAGTACAAAACATGTCCATACATGTTGTAGAATGTTAAAGTGTCCTGGATCATCACCACAGTCCTTCTAGTTGGACCCTAACTGTCCAATAGACCCTCCTGCATCGGCAAGGAAAAGCTCACAGAAACCCAGTCGGAAAAAGGTGAGAAACCTCGAGGAGATCCACATTTTGAGTGAGGGATCTGCTCCACACGGACGGACGGGCTGTAGATCCAGGACCTAAGCTACAGAACGAGGACCACTACTAGAACGACTACTGTCCGGTGCAGGACTGAAACAGCTCTCAGGCGGGTCAAGCAGGGCGGTCCGCGGGTGTAGATGGAGGAGGCAAGGTTCAGAGGTCCCGTCGTCGCACCATGAAACAGACAATGGGGCAATAGCAATGAACAGACTATAGTCAAAATCCTAATAATGCAGACAGATAAAGTAGGAAGGAGGAGACGATATTGCTCAAGTTACCATACTTCTGACTCCTTACGCAGCTTGACTGACAATCTAAGATGTTTAGCCTTCCCTGAGTCTTACTCTCCTAACCATATGTTAAACTGAAGAGGACTGTTTTAAGCCTAACCTTGAAAATAGAGACCGTGTCCGAACGAAGGAGAGACAGCAGCAGCCACGGATAGGCTAACCCCGGCAAACTTCCAAAGCATACAAATGGAACTACTACTATGTAATAACATTATTTTGTGGTTTTCCAAACGGTTTGGTTGTATCACTAGTTTTCAGATGCATGTATGATTGTCCTGACATTCTTTCTGACAAAACACACAACATGAGTTATTTATGAAATAGAAAATTGGGTACCCCAGCTTTACCTGTATGAGGTTGTTATTGTTGTCACACTGTGTTCTAAACTAATACTACTTTACAGCTAAGATGGCTTCCCTTCACCATCCCTAAATCGATGGACAAGAAAATTGACTTTGTGTCTGTAAGTTTTTATGGCTAACTTTGTCATAACTTTTTATATATTTTTCTTTCAACAATATTCAACTGCTGTGTGCTCTGCTGCAGGGTCTCAATACAATTTGCGGCGCTGGTGAGGCCAAGTCTCGTAATGGCATTGGCATTCACATGTATACCTGCAACACTTCCATGTTGGACAGGTATAAAGTCACAAAATACAAATACAATTCAGTTGCCTTTTTATGCTATGTTTTGATTTGTCTCGTAGGTGTTTCAACAACTCAGATGGAGACTTTATGATTGGTGAGATCTTTTGCTGTTTTCACCACAACAATGTAAAAATACCTTAGCTTCTCCCATTTCTAAACCTCTTTTGTCTCTGCAGTCCCTCAGCAGGGAGACCTCTTGATCACCACTGAGTTTGGGAAGATGATGGTCGAGCCGAACGAGATCTGCGTCATCCAGGTGAGTGTTTTGCTCTTTTTTGAACAGGAATATACAGAATATCAATGTGCACCATATTTAGAAAGACATCAGCATTTTCCTTTAGTGACCCCTAAAATGAAGAACCATAGAAAGAGGCTACAGATACAGAAAGCCCAATGATTACAGTACGTGATTGCAGAGAATGTGCACAATATTGTATGAACTTAAGGGTCACCGCAGCATCAGTGCATTCCCCATTTTATATATAACAACAGAGTGATTTGTGTCTCTCCCCTTCCACATCTTCACAGCAAGGGATGCGTTTTGCAGTGGAAGTTTTTGGAGAATCTCGAGGCTATATACTGGAAGTGTACGGGACGCATTTTGAACTCCCTGACCTGGGACCCATCGGTGAGTAATTGAAATGGCTCCATCAGTCCATATGCCTTTTCTGGACAATTACTGCTGTTCCCTTGAAAAACACACACACACTTTTCTCAAATGTATATCTTTGTGTATGCTCTCTGGCACTTACAGCATCACATTGACCATTTACGGTGGATACAGAACTGGCGCCTAATCACTGGAGTTTGAATCGTGCTTTCTACACTTGACACTGTGACACACTTTCACACAGAGGCCGTAAACGCAGGGGATGGAGAGAGTAGCCTTTAATACCTTTAAATCTGCCGTACCTTACTATAGTTTTCATAAATATTACATTATTTTTGTCTTAATAGCAACACTTTCATTAGAGTAAAATGTTGTGAATAAGTCAGACAACAAAATGGTGTCTTTCTCCTATTAGAAAACACTTTATCTTTTGTAAGAAATTCCCCTACAGCTCAGGATCTATCTTCTAAATAAAGATTAAATGTTGTGGAGAGTTTATGAGCATCTTGAAAGTAATTTGCGTGTATCGAAAGAATTGATGATACCATAATTGATAGTGCAGTGCGAAAATAGCTTGAGTGAATCATTTTATCTGTGTCAACATGACGTGTTACTTTGGCTTTTTACTCTTCAATAAATAGCTTGATAGAATGATTAAACAGCCATATGTAATGACTACTATCCACTTCTGCTTATGCGGATCTCCTGTGATTAGTTGGAGAGAAGCGAATTGATTGCAGCTGTATTTAGTCATTCCATATACCTCACCGTGGCGGCAGGGAATACATGTAATTGTAAGAAATAAACTCAAAATTGTATAGACCCTGAAAATCTATTTCTTTTATTACAGGAGCAAATGGTCTGGCAAATCCCCGCGACTTCCTGTGCCCGGTCGCATGGTACGAAGACCGCACCTTGTCTTTAGGCTACACAATCATCAACAAGTACCAAGGAAAACTCTTCGCCTGCCAACAGGTTTGTATGTTCTCTGTACAACAATGCTCATCTCAATTATCCACGCACAGACAGCCACTGACACACACTGCGCGCTTGGCCTATTACCCCGTTGTTAAGTTTGTTTTTGCTTCAGTAAACACCGCAATGACAATGACTTAACAGGAAACCGTCCAAGTGGCGCGTGTGATCCATTAGCCGTTCCCCTCGATTGGATTGCCCTCCCTGATGATTTAATATCGAAGCATGTCGGTGTGTTTCCGCTCCGGCTCCCTTATGCGCTTTAATCACTCGTAATTAGTTAAGACCTTCTGGAGTTCCATGCAGTGTACCTGTGAAGAAGGGGGGAAAAAACTTCCTGGAGTACAGCATTAATTTGAGCATGATCCTCCCCCTTTTCTCAGTGTCGTGTTGGGCACATAATTGGATCGGGACATAATGTGTGACAGGCGGTTTTTACGAAGACAGGCTGACAAAGTACTGTCGCAACGCGTGTCAATCCGCAGTGTTATTATTAATCTCGAAGAGTACAAAAGGCTAAGATACTTTTTCTAAGCAAAACAAACACCAGCCTCGCTCTACCTACTCAGCGTAAGGTCAGGGATCAATAACAGCCAACTGGAGGTGGCACCTTGCACTGTTTCTCCACCCTGTCCTCTCCTTTCAGAGCGTAAATGGTCAAGGCAAGTGCGGTAACATGTAGGAAAATAAGACACAGGCTTCATTTTTAGGGGAGATTCTGTCGCTCCTGCTGTTCTGTTCTCCCGCAGAGCTCTGAAATTGCTCAAATTAACTTATTATTTGCTTGACTGGACCAATATGTTTGTGTTTTGTGCGCATATGTGTGCAAGCGCCTGTGTTCCTTTCATTTTCCCTTTCAATTTTTAATCAAATTGTGTAGTTTTCTATAGTTGAACACAGTAATAGGTGTGTTATGGCTTTATTTGCCGTCATTTTGCAGGACAAAGCTTTACAAGTCAATTCAAACGTTTATTTTTTTAAACGTACTATTATTGTGAAAGTAAAGTTAGCCAGTTTGCAAAGTAAAATTGATCTAATGTATGTTTATAAGAATGCAAGAACTGTAAGTATTATAATGTAGAAAACCTGAATCTTGGATAACATAAAATAATGATATGTAGATAGATATACACATAGATAGATAGAAATTAAACTTACTACTTATTATAACTTACAGATTTTGATAATGATAATAATTTGTCCATACACAATGAATACTTGTGTAAGAATGTTAAGTCAGTGTTTTAGTTGACTGAAAGTTGGGCTATATACTTCTACAGTGTGTGTCTGTGTGTGTTTCACTGTGTAAAGAACATGGGGGTCACTGAAAAGGCAGTTTGAGTTGTAATGAACTATATTGATTTCAGAGCTGCCGCTGAATGTCTTTTTCACAGTGGCATTATCAGAACAGAGAAGCTATATAAAATTGCTGTGGTTTTAACAATCAAAGATAAAGAAATATCTCTGCACCTACTGTTACCGCGCACTGCTCCCTCCCCAATAACTGTGCTGCTTCGTGCGTCAAAATGCTCAAAGTTTGGGAAAGTTTGATTGGGAAGCCAATTACATTATAATACCTGGAGCCGTGAATCACAAAGAACAGGGGAATGAAAAGAAGAATAAAAAAGCGCACCCTCTTTCACAATCAACCCTACTCATTACCGCCATTTTTTCTCTTTATGTCAAGAAGTACTTTCTCTGAAAATGTAAAATTACAAAGACATTACTCATTGTTCCAAAACTCCAGTGAAAAACTCAATTTAATATCATTTGTGTTGGTTGCCTGGTTAGTTTGACTACTCAATATTCAATATTTGTTTTGTTTTCTGCCGGTAGGAGTTTTCGCCATTCAATGTGGTCGCCTGGCACGGAAACTACACCCCTTACAAGTACAACCTGGAGAAGTTCATGGCGATCAACTCTGTGTCCTTTGATCATGCGGTGAGATAGTCTTACATTGTTTGAAGTTTAATATTTACGTGCACAAATAATACAACTGTTTTGCTGTCAATCTATAGGACCCATCTATCTTCACTGTGCTGACCGCCAAATCCACACGTCCAGGTGTTGCTATTGCAGACTTTGTCATCTTTCCCCCACGCTGGGGTGTGGCCGACCGTACTTTCCGTCCTCCATACTACCATCGTAAGTGAATACACATTTTTAAGGAATTTAATGACCAATACTTAATTCTAAACATTCATATTATAGTGCAGTGTTTCTCCAAAGTGGATTATGAAATGTTGTCATATCCGTGTTGTATATCAGCCTGGTCACCTTTACATATTGGCCCCTTATCAGAAGCTCATATGATAAATGTTTCCATAAGTGCACTGCCTGAATGTGTTGACTAAAAGCGCCTTCTTGTGGCATGTGTAGGTAACTGCATGAGTGAATTCATGGGGTTGATCAAAGGGCACTACGAGGCCAAAGAGGAGGGCTTCTTGCCAGGAGGGGGCAGTCTCCACAGCATGATGACTCCTCATGGTCCTGATGCATACTGCTTTGAGAAGAACAGCACCACTGATCTGGAACCTGAGAGGGTCGCTGAAGGAACTATGGTATAAAACACTTGTAACCATAAAAATAGCCCTAAAGCTTCATATAATCATTTGATGTGGGGTCTTTTTTCAGGCTTTCATGTTTGAGTCCTCATTCAGCATGGCAGTGACCAAATGGGGCCTGGAAACTTGTCAGCGACTGGACAAGACCTACTATCAGTGCTGGGAACCTCTACGCAGCCACTTCAACCCCTCCTGGAGACCCTACAGGAAGTAGAAAGGAATCCCACCACAGCGATCTACATCAAATGATGAAAAGATTAAAAGGCCTTTATAATGCAATTAAGTAGCTTCTTTAAAACTATTGTAGAGTTTTTTGGAATTATATTCTTGGTATTTCCCATATTACTCTGAACAATTGTGTTGAATTAATAATATGTGTGGAATGAATATCTGAAGGCCTAAGTAAACCAATAGAAAAATATTTTAACAGTAAAATACAGTGGAGAAGCAGAGTGACAAGGTCTAGATAGACCTAATAAGAATTTGAACATTGAAATAATCACAGAAAGCTTGTTGTAGCCAGAAGATGATTTGTGGATTAGTATGTGCTGACATAATGAACGACAGAAAGTTTGGGGTGTAACTGGATGCATACATATACATGAAACACTGCGTGATATAAGCCCTTTAAAAGGCATACTATGTCTGGTAGCCTGTAAAAACTAACAAGTATTAATTCAAACATTTGTGTGACCATAAACAGTATGCCCAAACTATAATGTAAGTTAAATTAAAATGTACTGTATTAAACCATTATTCAATGTTTGGATTGAAAGTGATGCTTGTGACCAAACTTTGGCAAATATTCAATTGTGTCTTAACAATTTAAATAAATGATTTTAATAACTTAACAGATTGTGTGTCTTTCTATTTTATTGCAGTCTAATTTACTGTATTAGGTACTGTTTGTACACACAAGGACTCCATGTGTTCACTCCACACCTGGTGGTAGAATGCTGCTGCAGACTGATCACACAGTTCCCTTTATGTGTCATTGGCCTCTACAACCACCACCACTCCCTCAAACTGACACCCATACACAGGGGTGTCCAAACTTTGTTGCAATTGATCACAACAATCAACAGACATTGCAAATCGACATTTTTGCTTTCTAATCAATAGACAACTTTAACTAATGAGTCCTATCCAATTGTCCAATCAGAAGATATTATCCAAGTATTTATAAAGAGTAGCCCCATTCGATAAAGTCAAATTTAAAACCTTTATTATGCCATTTTGGGAGAAAATGAATGCCACCATTGCTGGTAAGAAAAAGTCCAGCGTCACAGCCACTACTGTTCTTTACCAATTGTATTGACGCAAGATAATGTGCAAGTCTAACTTTGGCCACATATGCTATTTTTTACTTAATCAAATTGTCAAAATTAAAGCCCATCAAATCTAATCCCTTTTGAGGCTAACCTGATATTTTAATTAACCACATTTGTGTATGGTGGCACTCTACATAATTTAAGCATATATACTGATATGGTGCAATCATTTAAACTCGTGAAGCCTCATGTTCACAATAGAACTTTATTTTATTCATAATAATTTCACACATTTAAATCACAGGAACTAGTTTTTATAACAGCAGCTCATGATGAGTGACAGAACCTGCGGTCGCTGGTCCCAGCCTGAATCTGCTTCTCTTTTCGATCCTATAAAACATAACATTAAGGGTTAGCAGTTTCCATAGCAACACAGAAATCATGTCACCTCACGCTTTTCACCTTGAAGACATTTTCTCTCAACTGCGCGTGTTATAAGCAAGTATTTTATTATTTTCAACAATCGTCCCTCATGACACAGCCAGACAAGTATGATAGCAACCGTGTGACTGCTGAACCAAATTTTATGTCTCAGTTTGAGTGGACAGGATTTAGTGGGTGAATCTCCATGACAAAATTGGCCGGCATCTGAAATTAGGTACTTATTTGCAAGTAAACCAAGGGACATTTTGTACAGCAGGCAAAAATGGTTATACAACACTGACGGGTCCTTGACACTATTCCACTTCTGAAGGGAAAGTTTTATGCCAAGGCTTCCTTTTTAAAATGGTTATAAAATGTTTCATAGCAAGTCGAGCTTCATCATTTTTTGAAAAGCCAAGTTTTATGCATTATAGGCTACACATTATGAAAACCCTTAAAGGAGGTCTTACACAATTTATTTTTGTATTCCAAACATTATGTGCTAGAGCTGTACAAGTAAGGTTTTCATGGCCAAAACATTTTTATTGAAAAACAAGAGACAATTTTCCAATTTCAGTTGGTATGTAGGGCTGATTAACAATAGGTCTAGTTTTTGACAAGTCATATGTCAGATCTTTATGTACTTTTTTAAAAATGGTGTTGAGAAAATTGAATGCTATTGTCGGCCTGTGCCCCACTCACCTCATTTTTCTGCCATTTTCTTTGGTCCCAAATGTTTGCCTTTTTATTTAAAGACTAATCAGTCCGGTTAAAAATTCAATTGGGTCTTGAAGAGGTAACATTTTGGCTCCATCAAATATAATATTTTGTTTCAAGATTTAAAACTCCTTGGAGCCGCACTGTGATGCATTACAAACATCAGAGGTCTCAAGCTTCTCAAACAATGGTGTCACGTATATGAGGATAAAAATAAGTCAAACATGCGCATTGTATGAGTACTGGTACATAAGGGAAAAAAACATAAAATGGCCAAAAGCTGAAAAAAGTAAGTCTTAGGATATGTCTGCTGTATTAATTTCTGCTACATATAATCCACATAAATTGTTCTATACAAACCAATAAGAATGGATAACTTTCTCATTTGATGGACTTACTCTGTCTGTTTTGAATACGTAGTAAAGAGCAAACAAGGGTGCAACTCCAAACATGAACCCAAATAGAGAAGTCTTGAAAGTTGGCCGAAAGTGCGGATAGGGGTTGGCACGAGCATATACCCAGCGATTCAGAGCAGGGTCGTCCTGTGGGGAACATAAGATTTACAATTTAAAACAATTTAAATACAAGTAGCTCAAAGCCTTATGAGTAACAGTCGCACTTTAAAAGATCATTCTGATTCCAAATAATACCACTTCCTCAACACATCCTCCCCGTTCACGACTTTCATTGTTTTTCAGGGTATTTCTTTGCAAGTGCTGGTTATTGTGGAAAACAGTTTGCAACACAGATAAGTTAAATCTTAGTAGTGTCTATGAAAATATTTTATTCATTGTCATTACTGTTGAAATTCACTTTCTATTCTAATGCCCAATTATTGTAGAAAGCTGATGTGTTGACCAGCCACTGTCATTTAGCTACAACCATAGACTGTATGACTTCTCTACTAAAAACTGAGACAATCAATCTCTAAAGTAACTAGTCAACAAACACTATATCCCTTAAACCAGTTTCATGTTGACGTTATTTCAGTTCTAAGCACATAGCAATAGAACATACTGCATAGAAGATTAAGACCGAATAGTGTACAGCATATCTGGCCTCTAATATACCATAGGGTGACATTGCTAGCATGTTGTTAGCATGTTGTTAGCCACTTACAATGAGCGCATTTCTGTGCGGGTTGTTGAGCTGTGTGAGGTACTGTCTCTTCAGATTGGAGCGCACTGCAGCCCGCTCTTCATCTGCTCGCCTTTTCTCTGGTGACAGGTTAAAATAATCATTTGGATCCAGAGTTCTGGGCCGGGTGGCCAAGGGCGCTTCTTTGTAGTCCGCCATGTTTGTTTGGCGGATCAGCGCTGGGGAAATCTCGTCAAATATCGCGTTGGTTATTGCCGTTACCATAGCGACGAGGTAAACTTCACTCACTTCTTGGCTGCGTGACTCTCTGTGATTATGGGCGATGAAAATACGAGTGAAGCTGAATTAGAGTCCATTGAAACAGAAGAGGGTGTCTGTGGTGAAGCTGAGCGCAGTTCTGTTCAGTCTGTTCTGGGGGAAGTCAACGCTCAGTCTCCGTCTGCGTCATCCAGCGACGCAGCGAGTGACACCGAGACGATGGTCAACTTTGTGCGAAGTTTTCTGTCCCAGATGGGGATGACTGATACTCTGGACTGCCTGCAAGCGGAATGGCACGATATGGCTCAACATGGACAAATAACGAGTGATGCTAAACAATTTGACGTGACTCCCTATCTTCACGACCATTACTTAGAAAACGAACTGAAATCTGCGCTAAATGAGAGAGAGCAGTACAAACAGGCCATCACTGCAGCGGAGGAGGCGCTGGTCAAGATCCGAAAGTCCAGAGACTTCCACTGGCTCCGACACAACCGCCTGCTGCAGGAGAAGAACAAGCTTCTTGAGGATATAAGGAAGCTCACAGCCCAATGCAAGGAGCCCCATCCCAAACTTAAACAAATGAAGGAGAATTATCAAAAACTTCTGAGACAAATCCATGCAATGGACATCGCGTCGGTGCAAGCAAAAGAAATGGACGTCAAAAGCCCTCAGTATCCTACATCTGATGAATCTGATGAATCTGATTAACCTTGCCTATGCTTTTAGATCTGCAACTATTTTTAACATCTTGATATAAATATAGTACACTGCATTTAAATTACAATTATTTCGTTATTTTTTCAGCCTGGGTGCTCCTGTCGAAATCTCCCACAAGAGGGAGACATTTAGCCAGGTATAGACCATGGATGTGTCATTTTATCAGTTTAGACTTTTAGAATGGAATTAACGTTACAATTCAATACAATGCATAGTGGTATTTAAAAGTAGTATAGCCAAAATCCTTAATCAAAGATGATAATGATTGTTATGAATTGTATAATTGAAAACAGTGATTTTACACTTACAAAGTTTAAGGGCCTGAACTACCCTCAAAAGCACCACAGCAATTCATCCGTCAAACATTATGTTTACAAAGCCCTGAAGGATTTCCAAATAGCAACAGGAACTAGAGGAACCTACAGCCGGGATTTGTTGAGCTGGTCCAACTTATGATTAAATTTTTGTCTTGCTCTTTCTGGGACCTGTCCACTTTGTGTTTGTGTGACCTATGTGCGTTTAGACACCCACTTATCCTTGTCTGACTTGACAAAACGTATGCATTTTTAATTCTTCTGCAATCCCCTCCTAAACATTTTCTTGGCAACACTCTCAATCTTAAGATATGAAATTGATTTTTTCTGTCTGGGTTTATTCCATTCTTAATAAATCAGCTCTCCACGACCTGCGTATTGGACAACAGGTCAAACTCAGCAATATTTTCTGCTTTAATGTACAAAGCACGGTAGAGATTGGCTCCTGCTGGTGACTCAGCAGGGAGCAGGCATCCATCATCCTCAGAGGCACAGAGACGAATTATAAGAAATGGAATTGCACAAAATATTTTCACCAGAAGCCACATCAGTCTTGCCATTATTGTTCATTTGTGAGTGGCTTAATTTTACAATGGAAATAAGAATAAACTGGCATTCCCTTGTCATTGTTAAGTTTTCTATTTCAAATCTGGTTTAGCTGTATAATATTTAGCAATCATGTGCTTTTTTGTGGTGGCACTATTTGATTTGATTTGTGAAAACATTTGAGAAGCACTATACATCTAAACTATATCTCAGACCTGCATCTCCTGTATCCATCCATCCAGCCATCCATCCATTTTCTTCCACTTTATCCATTGCCAGATGAAGGGGGCAGACTTCCACACTCACTTCCTCCCCCTCGTATATTCCCTCCTTTTTCTCATTCACTTTATGGTCTCATGGTTCTTTTCAAATCCAGTGTTTATATATATATTTCTTTTGGTAAACTGTTAAGCTTTGTTTTTTGCCATTGTTATTCGATTGATGTTGAATATGTTCGTAAACAATGCCTTCAGACATGCAAAGGTCATCCTGTTGAAATATTGATTTACCTTTGCGCTCATATCAAAAGTTGTGGCTTGTTTACCTGTGCTTGGGGCTAATTGATGCGCCGCTTTAGCAGATCTGACAGGAGTTTGAGTTGGAGTGTTTTGGCTTCGGAGGAGAGACGTGAGGGCAGGAGGACAGGGGGACGGTGATGAGACCTGGCAGAAGGAGAAAGGAGGAGAGAGACTGAACCCCGGAGTGTGGTCCTGTCTGAAATCAGCTTCACCAGGGAATCCAGCCGCAGCACTCGCAGCATACTGAACAAAACACCTCGTCCTCACTGTCAATTACAATCACTCTTGAAATATGTCAAACAAACTTTGGAGCATTTTACTTTTCAATCTAACGTTTTGCCTCTTCTACATATTGATAATAATTCAATTGGCTCATCTGCATTTTATGTACACGTCGTGATGTGCAATATTGCAGATAAAAATAATGTAAAAATGTGCACCTTGGTACAACAATATATAAATCTGGAGAGACTCGAATAGACAAATACAATTGTATATTGGTTGGCAAGTAATCTGATAGTCCATAAATTACACATGACTCTGAGGACAACATTTATTGTTGCTGTACAGAAATGTGGTTAGGATTTGGTGCTTGGACCCCGGCAGAGCACTGCACAATTGCAGAAGGGGAAAGAGATTATGAGATGAAATCGCCCTAGACCCTGGTGGTGGTAGTAGGAGAAGGACGGAATTTTCCCACCTGTCACCCGATCAACCCAGCCTCCTGGGTCAAATTCTCCAAATAATGCAGACTCTTCATGTGTCCAGGACAGCCATGACACAGCTGCTCCATGCTGCAGTCCTCTGTCACAGGTATTTATACAGCTTTATTACTTTATAAATGGGACTTTACCTGAAAAAGCAGCCTGTTTAATCCTTTAGAGACTGTGTCTATGATTTATTACTGAGCTCTGGTGATTTCTGAGATGTTGTATTTGGGATATTTACAAGCAGTGCGTCATTATTCCAAATACAGGCTCAATATATCTCACTTTGTGTGTAATACGTCCGTCAAATATTGTTTTCTCATTGTAATTTCAGATTCAGATTCAGATTCATTTATTTGCCATTTGCAGTAAAACCACATTGGAAAACTGTGCAAGACTACCCCGGTGTGCGCCAGACAGAGAAGACGACACACACCAGAGCTCTTGCCACGGCGCCATCTTTCCGGCGCCATGCGACAAACAGTAGAATAAACAGCAGAGAGCAATAACATACAGATTACACAGACAGTTGGATAGACACATTGTGCTTTGTATAAACCACGGATTTTTTTCTCGGGATGAGCGCCTCCTACAGCCGGCCCAATGTGGCTGTCAGAGGGGGGCGGGGTCAGGGAGGGGGTGAGTCGGAAACACAATGAGGAGTGGAGGGGAGGGAGGGAGCAAGATGAATAGGTAGAGGGAGGCGGGGGAGGGATCCGTGCTGGAGACTGAAGACTGAAGAGTGTGAGTTGTTGTAGATAGTCCGGACTTGTTATTATGGCCTTGGCCGAGGAATGTGAGATAAGAGTGGAGAGAAGACACAGCAGGAGAAAAAAACACATCGCCTGAGAGGGACAATATTACATGCAATGTAGCAGTCAAAAACAGGCAGATATTCTATTAAATCCAATTAATCCGAATTGCGGCGCCCTCAGACCTCCGTACACAGGGGCAAATCCAAGCCGGGTCAGAGAGTTCAAGCCTGACAAACAATGTCATTCAATCTCAGCTCCAGAGTTTTATTCCCTTCGAGTGAACTAGCTGCAAGATCTTTGATCAACTGTTCCACCAACACCACTCTCCGTTGTCCAGACACGGCACTCTCAACCACGACTCGGTTAAGCTCCTTGTACATCCCATCAATTTTGTTGGCCAGCAGGTCGTGAATCTTGCGAACTGCCATGCCTCCGAATTTGTGGTAGAAGAGAACCGCTCCAAACCCAAACAGGAGGATTCCCACCACCAAAAAGCCAAAAATATATACGTCTTCCGAATCTTCAATAGACAGGACCGACAGACAGAGGGGCTGAAACTTGTTCCAGCTGTCAAGCGTATACCCCGCCGGTGAAGTCCTGTCCGGGCACACGGGCTCTCCAGACCCACGCTATCTAATTTGAGTTTTAGAAATAGATTACCTTTGATTTTCTAATTTTCAGAGTTTCACCTGTATGTGTCATACTAGTTCTCATATAGATAACGCTTACATTGAGTGAAGGACAGTACTTTTTTATCCTCAAATGCTCCAATTTACTTGCATGTGGAATATTGTGATCAGCTGACAGATAAAAACAGTTCTTGACGGCCCGAATATAATAAGAAAATCATTCAACTGGGCTTCTATAGCTCCATATTCCGCAGCAGATGGCGAAGTCGTGAAAGTGCTCTATAGAAAGATGCCATCACCTGCTCATCAAAAGTGTTATATTTGCAGAAACTCTCAAAAACCTTCTCTATCTGTACAGAGAATAACGCCCTGGTTGCTGGAGCGCTTTGGAATTTGTTTACTTGTATTTGTTCCTGATGCTTTGGGATGAGATTATCCTGTCAACATGAAACTAATACTTAAACTGTGCGGTTTTCCAGATCTGGAGACCGAAGATACTTACACTTGGCCACATAACTGCATGAGCTGGAATGGGCTTTTTACGGAAAGTCCTGAACAGGGCTAAACCACAATCCTATAGATACTTACAGGCACTTATCTTCATCTTTGTTCTGGAGCATTAGACTCAGTGGAAACAATGGCCACACCATTTTTAGGGCAGGGAAAATACAGTACAGCCTCATCTTTTGTGACCACACACAGTGACGCATGCTCAGATTAAAGACAGACCTTACTTTAGCATTTACATCATAATGAGCCTGTGTTTCCCATATTTTTCAGTCCGTTTATGGTCAACCTTCACATGCGATGGATGAGATATGCCCCATGTGTTTTGTCGAGGGTCCGTGATGATAATATGTTTGTCACAGTGTGCAGGATCATGACAGTCCACTGCACTGAGCCAGTCCTTCCTGCTGTTTCTAATATGATCATAGCATTTATCAAGACACTGCTGTTTCTCTGAGATCACACATCGGCGTCCCACTGCGCTTTGTCACCGGATCGCCTCACAACCTGCTAATCTAACTGATAACTGGGTCAAAAAGGAGCAAGACCCAACAGTTGCTCACACATCACCTCCACTTTTCCTCAAAGAAGCATCTCCTAGCATGTGCTGCCAGGAAATAGCAGCTCTATAATTAAGATTACGCTGTGTTATTTTCTCCATCTCTGCCCTGTTTGTCTATAAACAGAAAATATGAGGCAGGAGTGGAGCGCGTACGTCACTGCTTTGATCAGTAATGAGCTGGTGACTCATCCCATTCATTCGTCTGCACGGCTCCGAGGGCACAGCACACGAGGGTCACTCTACTGTAACATACGCACAGCTGTCACATCAACATTCTGGACGATCACTCACATGTAAAGCTGCGGTACCTAACATTTGTTTCATGCTGTTTGTACCAATGGTCTCTTAAAAATAACATTATGTGAGTAAATCTGACCATGTTTATTGTGTTTGCTTGTGAGAAAGAGCTCTGTGACTCACTATTTGACGCTTTTTGCCTTGTTTTATTTTACTTTTTTTGACACAAGGGGAGCTTAGTAGGGAAAAAAGGAATTGTTATAATGCATGTATTATGGGGGAAAAGTGTGAACAAACAAAGATGACACAATTAAGTACTAATAAATGCTGATTGGCTGAGTGAGGGTGTTCCTCTTTTCTACAAAGTGACAAAGCCCAGAATATTCATCGGTGTGAAGATTGGCGATAGAACTAAACTGTTTTCAGAGCGAGGAACTAGTTGGATGGATTTTATTAGTTATTTTTTTATGGTTTGGAAGTTAGGTACCTCAGCTTTAATAGAGAGAAAGGTACAAATCAATATTGTTGAAATGCATTCTACACCCCCAATGTTTGCGGTCATCCAGAAAATCGCAAGTTGTTCTATGCAGGTATCACAGTATTACGCATTTTCTAATCATCGAATTGCCTTATGGCCCTATTTGAAAATGGAATGCAGCAAAAGAACATGGACAGATGGTCACTGGAAATATTTTAATCATGAATAAAATGAGCTTTTCTGTAAAAAATGAGGTAATTTGTGCGCTCAAACCTTATAGTAGGTTTGAATGCATATATACGGGTCTCACTGATTGAAATATCTGAACACAATAATTGAAATGTAGGCTACAGACTTTGTTGCGCGACATTCCTATCTGTCAAATGCATGATCATATTAAACAAGCAGCAGTTTAATAGGATTTTCCCATTCGTCAACATTGATTTGAGACTTAGATTAATGAGTTTATGAAGGCTATTACGAGTAGCAAGACCAGTAATCCTCATTTTACACTGCGCCCATGTCTTCATTTGAAATCATCATGAGTGTAAAGCCATAAATCCACAATCTTTCAGAATAGTAAAAAAGTATTAGGACATTTTGGTCCATATCAAACTAATAAAATATGATTGTAAGAATTCAAGCGGGTTGTGAAATAGATGTCAGGCTACTTGAAGACAGTTTCTTGAACGCCTTGAGCCTAATGTATGGTAAATGACTTAATATGGGCTTCCTGCAGCTTTATTCAGCCGCTTGTACCTGTTAAAAGCCCTTCACATTATGTCGGAATCAGTCGCTAGCGCCTTCTGTGGGAATACTGCGTTCTGGACGGAGAAGAGGAAAATTTGAGCCTCCATCAGACGTCTATACACTTCCTTAATTGACATATTAAACTGTTTTATAGACCGGCTCCGACGCAGCACAAAGCACTTAACGATTTAGGATTTTTACAACATATATTTAACTAAACCATTTATTGACGTCTAAGAATAAAAGAGCAAAAATATACTGCCTTGTGAGAGTCCATGAGAATACATTACAACAAAAGAGACTCAGCTACAATGGAGAAAGTATACAGAAAATATACAAATAATTGTAATACAAAAAATACACAAATATTACGGCATATAAAAACATATCATTTTGTAAATCCCCAGCATAATTTATTTATATTTGTTTATAAGCATTTTATTTGGGCTGGACGTTTTGGCCTTCATTTGTGGGGTCCCCCTGCACAGAACACAAAAATGTCAAATATTGTTTAGATAAGCCTTAAATATAACACTTTGTATCTTTGTGAATCTCACCAGGACTGAGAAAGCTCCCGACCGATCGATCTTCCCTCTACTTGGTGGTTCGTTCTTCACTTGTCTCCGTGCTCTGATTACCTAGGGGATGCAAACTTAACATCAGCAAAGACTTAACAGCTCTTCCAAGAAAACCAGGCGCCTGCCCTTATAACATCCATCCACCCGCAGCGTTTCCATGGCGACTCACCTGTAGGGGGGTGGACTTGTCGTGGGTGAGGAGCGAGTAGGAGCCGACTCGGGATCTACGCTTGGACTTTTTATTTGCAGTTTGGACCAGGTGTCGTCTGGACCTGTCAGCCTGAGAGCACATACATTCAGACTGAGTTTAGTTTAATGTAGGTTTAATACCGAGAGAAGTTACAAATGAAACTCTGAAAATGTGTTAAAGTTGATGTATTTCTGTAGTTCAACGCACAATGTGAAATCAATATCAAGAATAAAGAGAGAAATTGGAAATTATGCTTTCTGTGTCCGGGCGCCTTGTGACTGGAACAACCTTCCAGCTTCTATCCGATCCCTCACATCCTTTCCTCTATTCCGAACGGCTCTGTTAACACTTGTCTTTGTTTGTAACATCTCATATATAGCTTAAATATATAATGTGTATCCAAAATTGTTTATGTATACTGTACGTGTATGGTATCTATTTATATGTGTATGCTCTTAGATGTATGTATACGTATGTGTATATGCATATGTGTATATATATGTATATGTGTGTGTATGTGTATCTGTTTATATGCATGGATGTATGAATAAGTACACATATTAAATGATAACTACTGTATCTTACGACAATCTGTCTGTAAAGAGTGGGTGAGTGAATAGTGAGAGCTTGTGTGAGTGTGTGTGAGTATGTGTGCTAAGTATTTGTTGTATTATCATTATTATATATATATATATATATATATATATATTTTTTTTTGATTTATTTATTAATACTGTCTATTATTATTATTATTGTTGTTGTTATAACTATTTTGTTTTGTTTTGTTTTATTTGACTGTATCTACTCTGCTGTTCTATGTTCTTTGGATTTGATCATGAGGACCCCCCACGAAAACGAGAAGATCTCATGGGGTTTATCCTCCAATAAAATGTCCATAAATAAATAAATAAATATATTCTGTAACATACACTCAAAACATGAAAAGTAACATATGCAAAGGCTTTGTATGTATATTCATTTATCGTTTTCTAATTCTAATCTATTTTTTTATGTTTAATTTGGGTTTTTTACAAGCTGTGCACCAATTATCAACATTCCTCAAAAATTCCTCATTCCTCAAATTTTTTAACATTGTACAGTAAGTTGAACTGCAGGTAAATGGACTTTGGAAAGATACCGGTCTTTTCGGCCTCTGTCATGTCTTTAGATCATTTTTTTCAGACAGAAAAGTGAAATACACGCTCAGGCCAAAGCATTAAATAGTGACTCACAGGGCTCTTTCGTACAAGTGTGCAAAAGTTAAAATGTTTTGTGACAAGATGAACACGGCATGTTGAGATTTGTTTACCATATATACCAAGACCAACAATATGTGTAATTTATGGGGGAAACAATATGGTCAATGTTGTATCCATCTATCCAAACATTTCTAAAAGGAACATTGACTATTTTTTACTGGTTTTATAACAGTACAGAGGTTTCTATACATTTTCAGCCTCAAGGGACGCAAGTCGGTGCCAAACTCCTTCAAGCTCTAAATTGTATGGGCCAGGTAGACGGAAAAAAAATCCCTATAAAATGAATTTACCCTGTCAGAAAGAGCAATGCAAAACAGAACATTGGGGGAGTAACTCAGATTATTGTGAGCTGTTTTCATTTGATCTTTTGCCAAGAAGTAAGAAATAAAGAGAGTCACTTTATGAAGCTTTGGGAGCTGGCTAGTTATCCCTTTTGTTCAGCTGTACATTTACAATAGTTGCTCTCAATCTGTGCATGGAACCTAAAACAAACATGGATGTGAATGGTTTAGAGAGTTTTAAATGCCTTTTTTTCAGTTCCAAAATCAAGTACGACCTTTTAATGTCATGCAACTTTAAAGCTGGGTATCTAACTTTGAAAACACAAGAACACGGTACTACAGTAATAAGGCAATCTAACAAACTGCTTACCCTTAAAACAGTTTGGTTCTTTCACTAGTTATCACATGCATGTACATTTTGTTCATGCATCATTTTCAAAGAGAGGACCAGCCAATCAGCTCTCAGCCCAAAGCCTCACAAGTGTGCAAAAGTTTCAATGTTTTCTAATAAGGTGAAGACTTTTTGATTTGTTCTCTACATGAGTATTTCTGTTGCAACAAAAAAAACTGTATTATCCGTGTGTGGAGGAAAAAAATGAGGTACTCCAGGTTTAAGCAGTAAAGTTGACAACTAAAGGTTTCAGCCGCTATTGTAAAATCCTTGAATATTCCGTCCTAATTGTTCCCACTGTGCCACCTCTGGGCTCTTTGGCCTCTGGCTCAGTGTGGTGTGTGACTAAGAGCGCGGTGTACCTGGATGAGGCTGTTCGGAAAGCCTTTGACGGACACAGCCCCCGGCAGACTGGACTGACTCAGGTGGGTGGGACCCCTCCGCTCCAACTGCCGCTTAGCTCTTAACAAAGTCTGCAGGATGAGACACACGTCACCACAACCACAAGGAAAAAACAAGAAGAAAGTGGTTCTGAAACACAGAGCACCTCAAATTGTTCAGCAACGAATAGAATACCCGTAGTTTAAAATGTGTGCTTATGACACAAACACTTATAAACTCTAAGTAAGATGGCTTTAAGATGTCCAAGTTTGCCAGTGTTTTCTAGTTTGACAAAATAATATTTTACTTCCTGGTTGGGCCACATATCTGACATAATTCCATAATAGTTACAGCTAATATGTTAACAGGAATCAAAGCACATGACATATAAACACATTTCTTCACAAATTCTCACTCAGCCCAGTGTTTATCAGGCATACAAATATGTAGAAGGTAAAAGAACAATATTATTTTCTTTAACATATCCCAACTAGAGATTTGTTTGAATATTTAGTGAATGAAATATGTATGACTCCTATAAAGATACAGACCCCTGGCCTCCATCTGAAGTTATGGAATCATCCAATTCTAAAAGGTTAATATACAGTGGGGCAAAAAAGTACAATTGTGCAAGTTCTCCCACTTAAAATAATGACAGAGGTCTGTAATTTTTCATCATAGGCACACTTCAACTGTGAGAGACAGAATGTAAATAAAAAATCCAGGAATTCACATTGTAGGATTTTTAAAGAATTTATTTGTAAATGATGGTGGAAAATAAGTATTTGGTCAATAACAGAAATTCAGCTCAATGGAAGGAGGTTTGGGCTCAAAATCTCACGATACATGGCCCCATCCATTCTTTCCTTAATACGGATCAGTCGTCCTGTCCCCTTAGCAGAAAAACAGCCCCAAATTTTGACCCCACGGGATGAGATCTTGCGTGGAGCCCCAGATCGAGGGAGATTATCAGTGGTTGAAATATTGTTTTGGGCTACATTTGGGATATATTTTATACAGATACAGAGTTCAAACAGGTGCCATTAATACAGGTAACAGGTGGAGGACAGAAGAGCTTCTTAAAGAAGAAGCTACAGGTCTGTGAGAGCCAGAGATCTTCCTTGTTTTTAATTGACCAAATACTTATTTTACACCATAATTTGCAAATAAATTCTTTAAAATCCTACAATGTGAATTCCTGGATTTTTTTTTCACATTCTGTCTCAGTTGAAGTGTACCTATGATGAGAATTACAGACCTCTGTCATTATTTTAAGTGGGAGAACTTGCACAATCCGTCGCTGACTAAATACTTTTTTGCCCCACTGTAACTTATAAATGGAACGACTGACATCAGAAGCAGGACTTTACAAGTCTAAACAACAATGATCAATGCAAGAATGTATCCAAGTCCAAACAAGGACTAAACTGAAATGATGCACCGGTCTAAGCTGTTTAAGCTGTTGTTTTGTTTGCTCCAAAGGAATAACATGAAAAGCCTTGTGGACATCAATTTCCAGGTTCTGTATTGATCCAGACATAAATGAGCCAATGCTATCGACCAATCTGTTCCAAGTGACACTGAGAAATAACAGCTTTGGCTCTTGCTTAGAACTCCACGGTTAATTCAAAACACGGCCTTGTGGTTTAATATTTCATGCAGATTACATGGATAAGAAAAAGGGTTCTCAAATTTGGATCACAAAATGCAATTCCTTCCCTTTTTCCACTTAAAAATCTGTCTGTGCAATCATTTGAAACCAAGAGCTTCACCAGTGATTGCTGTTGACCTACTTCAAAATAGAGTTCAAGTGTAGTTTTTCAAAGAACTCTCACAGCTCTTAAATTGGAAGTGTTTTTACAGCTGTTTTCACAAATCCTGCGTTCCCAACTCTCAAAACAACAACTTAGTCACAACAACATACCGTTTGTAACATGGCCCTGCAGATTCACATAATTGTTTTGTGTTATCAAATCACAGCTCTGACAAAGAGCCTCTACCTTTCCCAAAACCTCACAATTTCCCTTTGGTTATTTGTCACGGAGCAATTTTCACCGATTTCCATGACACACTGCCAAAGTCATCAGGATGGATTCAGAGCAATTGGGTTAATCCTGCGGAGGAGAGAGTAAATAGTGACACATACCAGGCCATTGGTCAGTGCTTGATCCATCTGTTGCATGTGGTTTTCAAACTGAGAAAGGAAAAAGAAGAAGGGTCAGTTGTCTGTATTAGTTGTTTAAAAAAATAACAAAAAGATATTCCAAAAACTTTGTATTCACACGCAATATACACTTTTCAGAAAGATGCAATATTTTGTATTCACCCACGAGTGATGAAATACAATCCATGTATTTAAATGTTTTATATGAATTAAAGCTGGGGTACCTAACTTATTTCTTTCTTGAATAATACATGTTGTTTGTCAGGGGGAATTTTGTAAAAGTTTCCTTCCACTCAGTCCAAAACATGGTGTCTTCATCTTGCTAGAAAACCTGGTACCTTTTGCATACTTAAGCCCTGAAGTTACTATTTGGCGATTTGGGATTTTATTTCTATTTTAATGCGCTGTGGTTGATTATTACTTTAATTACCTGTGTGATTTTAACTGCGTATTAATGGTGATTTTGGTTTTGTTTTATGTGATGATTTGTGCCTTTGTTTGATGTGGACTGTGAAGTGCTTTGTGTTGCCCTGGGTAGGAAAGGCGCTCTACAAATAACATTGATTGATTAAAGTGGTCTTAACGTCTGAAATAGCTGTTCTAACAATCTGACAGAGACCAATAATACATGCATGTTAAAACTACAGAATTTTGAGAGCTAAGGAACTAGTTCGAATGATTTTATAAGCTCCATTTTCTGTGGTTTGAAAGTTAGAAACCCCAGCTTTATGAGAGAAATACAGCCTTTGGGTAAAATGTACAGAACAATCTTAGCACAAGTTAATAAGCTGTTTACATGCTTAGACAAGAACATCTGCAAATCTGTCAGTGCACGTCAGAACTTTTAAGCCACTCCAAACGGCAGCTGTTATCTCCTCATAAAACGTTGCCTATAATGAGCGCACATGTTTAGGGTATAAAACACTTTCTTTAACGCAATATACTTTTCTGCCTGTATAAGTTCTTCCAGCCGCACAAATTGGCCATAAAACATTTCCAAAGTCATTATAAACGCCATTGACCTTGGTTGCCACATAAGTAAAAGTGAATCTCTTTGAAAAGTCTTCTGCATATTAGTTAGTCCTGGCCACATATGAGGCTCATAATTGGCCGTGCTGTAATTACTTTACAAATAACCGCTAGGAGAATTTCACATCTGTGGCACAAACTCGCATCATCTGGTCCAGAAATCCAGAGTATTTTGTCGTGCGGTTTAAAAACGGTCCCTCTCTGGTCGTGCAGCTGTTGAAACCGTCATCCGCATTGGTTTGATTACTTTGGACACAACATAAGAACTGTCCGCAGAAAAAAATGTCCACCGCAAATTTTAAAGTGTAACAGGCAGCGGCCACATGAAACGCCAAAACAGGAGCTGAACCATTTTGTTCCATGCAGGCTATATTTTAGGGCATCATGGCTGTAAAAACCATTACAATGAGACTTTGTTTCTTTTACAGAAATTATACGTCTGTCTGGGTCGCTAGGTTAGGAAAAGACTGGACTCTTAAAAATATGCTCCTCGAAGTCATTGCTTCTGAATATGTCTGGCAAAATGCATGGCTTCTGTGTGGCACACGCTTTTCAGGCTACGCAAGAGCTCAGAACAAATAAGGCATATTTTCCCATTTAGGAGAGACTATCCTAATAAATTGTCTTACACTTTTACATTCATACAGAAAAAGTATGAAATATAAAGTTTGTTTGACAGTAAAAGGCTCTCATAAACATTCTTTAAAAGCTCTCTTATGAAACTATGAGTCAAGAAAAATACTCCACTGTAAAAAGCTTCTTACCTGTGTGTGTTTGGGCTGAAAGACTCCCTCTGCTCCGGGACACTGCACAGCTTCTGCCAGCACGCTGGCTTGGAGGCAGAGCGCACACAGCCACAGAGTGAGAGCCATGATGGGGCAGGACTCAAAGTGCTCCGCGCGCACTCAGCTCCTGGCTTTATACTCTTGCCTCGACCTAATGGAGACCAGATGCAGAGCGCAGCAGTGCCAGCTTCTCACAGACAAACAGCCGACCACAGCCCTGTGCTCCAGGCCAGCAGTGGCCTACACTCCCCACAAACATGTTAGACATGCTGAGGCCTCCCCCTGGCCACGACCACCACCCCAACCCCAGCACTGAGGAGCTTTTTTCCACTTATGTCTGCACTCTCCATCCTTCTGTGAGTGAGGAAAGAACATGGAGCTTCTGCTGTCAAGGCTCAAGTCGTTACACGGGAAATATTAGAGGTTCTGTTCTTGTAATGTCCCAAATAAATGCCATATTGTCAAATAAATTAGCCCTCAGAGACATAGAGTAAAGAACTCTAACTAAAAGCATTATGATAAGTTAAATGCCAATAATTCCAATAATAAGTGTAATGGGATAAGTATATGTTTGCTCTCCTTTCCCTTTAACAGGCACAGTCTGGTGTACATTATTTGAGGGGCATGGGGTGTTAGCATACCCATGCAGTTTAAATACTGCATAGCTCTATAACATATGGCCCTAAAGCATGCATCCCTGATGGGGTAAGTGGTCCATGAATGGGCTGCTGTCTGAAGGTGTGCTGAGGATGGAAAGTGTGAGGACACAGACGGAAACATGTGCTGCAGGAGGAATTGAATTATCTGCTCCTTACAAGCCTGTAGCTCAGTCTATCAGTGAAGGATGTCTCACTCATAAATGTAAAGGAGTCACACTTTGAGACATGGGAATATGCTACAAGATGGTTATTCATCTTATTCTGCCTGTTTTTCTGAAAATTGCTGGACCCTGTGTAAGAAGCAGTGCTGCAAATGCTTCCCTGGAGTTTTGGTAGACCACCAACTCGACAGCTGCAGACTAATGATGTGAAGCCAGGGATGGGATGTTTAGTTCAGGGACAGGAAGCAGAGGAGTGAAAAATGAGTTGAAGAAACAGCCAATCCAAACTGACTGGCGGGTCGACAGTGGACAAACATGCCAGTCGTGTTCGTGGACACTGCTGACTGTTATTGTCTGTCTTCAGTCACAGTTCAACAATACCTCTTGAGTCACAGTAACCTTTTCTTCCCCACTCTCTAAAGTTTTGGTTTCTTTCAAGGATATTTCTCTCAATCAAAATGAAGAGTCATTCTCCGTATTAGTCCTCATGTGCGCTGGGATTTATCATTTATCTGCTTGGCTGTGAGCTCCTGTCAAAGTGTCGGAGTTTGATGTGTGACCGCTACTGGCTGCACAACAGTTTTTTTCTGTGCCGTATACGCTGTGTTCCCTAAGCAGAACTGAGCAGACAGGTAATTTTCTAACCGCACAAGTTTGGGAAACATTCTTGGGTGCAGTTGAGCAACAAATTAAAGACGTAAATGTCGGAAATGCAAGGATTCAAAACATGACATCACATGATAATGGCTGCTTGGTATCTTCTACTTTATCTTCTAGGTTTTCCTCTGTTAAAACTTAAATTCCATTTTTCTTAATAATAGTCATCTTTATCTCTATGGTACTCAAGTCAACTATATATTAGATGTTAGATTCGATTCTGACCCCCATAGCTCAATGAAATCCCAATTGGGCTCATGTTGGGCAAACTCCTCAAGTGCAGTAACCGTTTGTCATACTCTACATTTTGGGCCTAAATCCATTTTTTTTTCTTTATGATTTTAGCTAGTGGCCAGAAAATACTGTATATACTGTATATGTGTCAAAGGATATGGCATCCCTTTACATCCTCTTCAAACACCTGAGAGTGGAAGCAATGAATACCGATAGTGTCAGATCCCATTGTGCGGTCTTAGTGTGGGTACTTTAACACGGTCTGAATAAAACCTCTGATGGCGTTATCGAGGAAAAGGCAGTCCATACAGTATATTGACGGATCAAGTGTTTGTACAGTCTTCATGTTTCCATAGGTCTCCCAGAGCCGCCTCTTTCGGAACACAAATCAATACTCTTTTCAAACACACCAAGCTTTCATTTCATGTGACAGCTTCGCTAACAGCTCCATGGAAAGGTGTGAGTTTGAGAGAAGAAGCAGCTTTTAATCCTCTCATGTGGAAAGAACACGGCAAGCCAAGGACAAGGGGTTGGACCGTCATCAAAACCAGCATTTGGAGAAGTCGCCCTGGTTAACTTCCAATTTGTTTTGCAGTTGTGACTGTTTATATGCTTCTCTAGCCATTTAAATATGGTACATTTTTACCCATTGGCATCTTTCGTCCAAAAATAAATGCTAATCCGCACACTTTTGATGTCTTCTGTAAATTGGCCTAAATTATCAATCTGAATCATCAAAGCAGGAAGCAAAGACGGACTGCGACTGTAGCTGATCAATTATTTCCTAAGCCGCTCTGTCTCGGAGCTCAGTGCAAATTCTGCATTTGTAAGGCTCAAAATAGGCATATGTTTATAAGCATGAAATTTAACAATAATCTAATCTGAAAACGGGTAGAACAAATGACATTCACTTTGACTGATAAAATCTAACGAGGCTAATTGACTTCTACATAATGTTAAATTGGGAACCACAGATTGAAGCAGACACAGCACTTGCAGGTTGAGAAATATAGGTCAATGCACGATGTATTATGATACATATTTTTGTTTGATTTTTGTGCAAAATACGTCACGGATCAGTGCTCTGCTGTGTGATGGGGACACTTGAGTCCAGTGAACTAATGAAATCATGAGAGTGTGAGACATCTGCAGGTCATGGCCTTTTCCTCTGTCGTTTGTATCTGGTTGGCTCACAGCTCCTCCTGTTCCCATGGCAGCGAGGAGTCGATTCAAACAATGCTGCTGCAGAGGGCTTGACGTGTGGGACCACCACATCTGTGTCAGACCGACTCGAGGTGTGAGGTTGTATTGTATCTCAAACAACTGTGCAGGCTCGGAGTAGATTTCGTATTCCCTCCACTGTGTCATGGCTGTCTGTGAAAAACACTATTAGTATTAAAATATCATGAATGTTTCAGCAGATTTCTTGTCTATGTGCATCTGAAATGTGGATGGATACAATGTTTTTTATTTATGCTTGTTAACCCAGCTGAAATTATGCATGCCTTGTTGAACATCCATTTTTTATTCCAATAGAAAGAGTCTTGTTGTGAGCAAATCAGACCAGAACATTTTGATCTCATTAGAAAACATTTTATCTTTTACACATAGAGCCAGCCTATGAGTCACTATTAGATGTTTTGTGCTGAGAGCTCATTGGCTGAGGGTAGGTTGTCCGCTCTTTTTACACTTTTTTGCTCAAAATAGGGTGATCTACAAATGAGACAAAGGCCAAAACACAAAACGTGCGGATTTACGGTCACATTTTAGGATGGATGAGATGCTGAGCGATATGAGGTAAGAATATGGTGATGTGTCTTTGATCATAAACCACACATTTTAAAAAGCATGTGTTTAGCATTAAAAAACAGACAGATATATTAAAAACCAGATAGTCACACGGCTCAGATTTTAAGTATTCTGTATCATATTACCAATGTAGTATTCTTAACAGGCTGTGTAAACACTATGGCGGATCACAGCATAGACTAGTCTGGTGTGTAACAGTTGCATAAGAGGCATGTTGTTGTTATTGTATTTTGATAATTATTAGCTCTAGCTGTTGTTTTAACCAGGAAACGTAAATGTTTTATCTTCTGTTTAAAGCTGTGCCAAACATGCACAAAACCCCACAGTAAGCACGGGTGGGAAGTCATAAATAAAGCTCAGTTGTAAACCGCTGCAGCTGAACTTGGCTGAAGATAACTATTGGCAACATAAAGAAGACATGGAGGTGCCCTGTGACTTGGCTCTGGTTCGTGCACATTTGTGAAGTAAACGATAAATGGAAGGGGGGGTCAGCAGCTTGTCGCACACTATGACGCAAACAGTCTGCAGAGAGATTGACGAGACTGTCGATACATTGTGGTTCTCCTTACTAAGCAGAGGAGAGATAGAAGGAAGTGATTACAGAGAAAAGCCTTGTACGGTCATAGTGGAGGGTTGTTCCACAGCTGGCAGTAAGACTTCCAGATAATATTTTTATGACTTGGAAAAGAGGAGGGTCCGACTTAACTGGAATAAAGCTTCTATGGTCAGAGCGTTTTACAACTAAAACCGCGTAAACTCTCAAACATCACTTGTGAGAGGAGGGCTTTATTGTTGTAAGGTCCCACTATGCTGCTATGGAGATATTGTGACCATACTTGCATGCAAAAGCCAGATCTCATAAAACCTTGGAAGCTGTGCATGGCAGTGCCTGGTTAGTGCTGTGATGGGAGACCTCTGTGCTACAGTTGGGTGCCCATGGGTGTTACAGTAAGTGCCATATTGTCATAGTGTCCTTAGGCAAAACATTTCACCCACATTGCCTAGAATGAGTCTTGTGTGTGTGTGTGAATGATAGATAGTGGTCAGAAGGGCCATAGCTTGATTGGTTGCCTCGCTTCCCCACTAAACATCCGACGTCCACTCAACCTCCAGATCACGTCAATATCGCGTCGGTCGGTCGTGACCTTTTATTTACGTCCAAACGACGTCTGTGCAAGGTGCGCATCTGGACGTAAAACAATGACCTCCCATATACGTGGATATGACGTTCAATCCCGACCTCCCCTAGACGTCGAAAACAGGTCATCGGCCGTCCAACGCAGTACGTCTTGATCTAGCAATAGATTATATAGGCTGTGAAGCAATGTAGGTGTACCTCACGGTAGTGTAGTGGTTAAGCAAACGTGTGCAGTCTTGGTTACGTGGGTTCGAGCCCACGTGTGTGCATTATTATCTTTACATATTTGTTTTGATTTTTAACGAACTATTTTTTTCTGTTTGGTTAAAGACTAATAAACACTCAACATAGGATTACGTAGTGGCTAATAATAAAACTTGTGAATGTATGCATTTGTTGTGCTAACAATCTCAAGTTTGCAAATAAGGG